GGATTTTAGAAATTTACGAATCGGCCGAACGTATGGCTGCTGGGCTCATTTAAGAATTCGTGCAACAGTTCGACACTAGAGAATAGCCGATACAGGAGTGCGGGTAGTAAATTTTCCCCCGTTGTGGATGGGGAGTCTAGCGTGACCTACGGCATGGACAAGAAAGAGACCAGATCCAGGTTTTCGTCGCAAACATTATATAGTAGGTCGGCACTCGATTTTCCTGTGTATATGCTCCTCATTTGCCTCTTGCGAAATAGGATGAACCATGCCCTCATAATGTACTCTGACGGGACAACGCTTACTCGGCATATGGAACTAGTTATTTAAATTGTTCCACTTCTGCACAGCCAAACGAATTAACTCCGACAGGACTTGAATGTTAAACGGAATTGGCTTGAGTAAGTGCGGTTGACAGGCAAGATACCTTGTGCTCTCCTATCAAATAGAGCCTCAAACCCTCCTGAATTAATTTTACAGATGCGTACAGTACTATCGCACCCCACAATCGCATTTTAAGCATTGTCTTGCATAATAATGTCAAATTTTTGTTTTCTTGCCCCGGTGACTTTCTGCATAAATCCAAACCTCAGAGTACCGATATGGTGGTGGTAATTCGGCCTTCGTTATTCGTTTGACTGATTCGTTCTTTCGGGATTGCTGTAAACTAGTTTCACTTGACGTTGAAACTTGGTGAGACTTGTTGTTGATACCTACTCAGAGTTGGCTACTTGCCCTGCAGCCTCTAGTCCTTACTTAACCGTTATCCCTTTGCTGCTCCCTTATAGACTCTTATCTTGGCGGGAATGTACAAGAAGATGGACATGACCGTGCAGGACGTCTTGGACATATGTAAGGTGAGTTACTATGGTCGTAATTAAAAACACAAAGCCGCTTATGGACGGGTTTGACGGTCAAACCGTACACCTCGGCAGATCACTAACCGCACAATGGTTAGGTTGGTTACTGGTGTGCCAACTGTCATATTTACGGAGCGTGACTGGACCAGTGTCCAATTCGGTGCCGAGATACGGTTAAATTGCACCTCAATTGGTCATCAACGGTTCAGATTTCCAGTATAACTGGCTCGCTCGTTGACGAGGTTTTGCATCGCGGCAGCCCTACGCCGAATCAGATAGTAAATGAAATATTCAGTAGTCCGAGAGAGACATAAGTTCCCAACGGGCACCCTTTAAACAGAGACTAGGAAAACTTAGAGATTGAGAAGCCGATTTCCCCTTGAAAACCGGTCGCCCATCTATTACTGAGACTATTGACGCTCGCCGCATCGCTCCTGATTGAGCACATTTCGACCAAGTAATCCAGCTCGCCTTCGCTAAGAACTCGCTTGACTCAACAGACTTGCGGTCAAGGGGATGTTATACAGAAGCGCATGAAGCTGCCAAGAACTTCTCTAAACACCGAAGTTGACCGTATTCTCCTTCACTCGACTGTTTTAGAAAATCCACCGCGGCGTGATTCCTTCCATGCCTGTCCCACCGGAGGGTCCCAGCAAGTTTGCCGTGGAGACCTGCCTACCGACGGATACGATTCAGCATGT